CTTAACGACGCCAAAAGTTCCGAAGGTCGTCCTAATAGTACTAATTATGAACTTATTAAACTAAAATAACTTATTGTGGAAACGGCTCAAATTCGTTTGTTAATGTATTCTATTTATAAACATTAATAAAATAGTATTGATTATCATCATCATTTCAGCCCGGAAGACGTCCACTGCTGAACAAAGGCCTCCTCCAAAGATCTCCACGACGATCGGGCCTGCGCTGTTCGCTCCAAGGCCTTCCAATGATCATCGTCCAAATCGTCGGTCCACCTTGCTGGAGGCCTTCCCACGCTGCGTCTACCGGTCCGCGATCGCCACGCGAGGACTTTATTGCCCCAACGGCAATGTGTTCTACGAGCTATGTGCCGGGGCACATAGCAATGGGTTGCTACTTCAGTTTCGCAATTCTTCGGGCTATTTTGGTCACTCTGTTGCAGATTTCATCATTTCTGATACTATCACGCAGAGAAACTCCGAGCATTGCTCTCTGAGTGACTCTGAGCTTATTCATCACGGCCATAGTTAGCTACCATGTCTCTGTGCCGTTAGTTATCACTGACAGCTCTCATTGGTTATAAATAAAATATTATATTGCCACAGTAGTATATTGCCACTCATATTCATTCCCACGAAGTGGCATTATGTAGGATATGATGTCCACTTGTGTGTGATATTATATAGGCGATGATTTCCACTTACCATCTGGTAGGTCGTTAGTTTTCACTCTATTCATCATTGGCTTGCCTTTATACCATTATTTGGAGTCAGCATAGTATGTGATTCTCTTCCTTACCGACCGTCATATACTCTCCTTTTATACATATCATTGTTCACACAGCTTGCATTCTATTTCAATAAAAATCTAATAACATAATAAATATCTTCATCCACTGTGATGCATATGATATCTACTTATATCTTGCAACTCCTGAGACGGTATTATGTATCGGTAATCAAAACAATACACTGGGCGGGACAATCTAATATCTTTTGCAATAAAATAATGTAGGTAAACAAAATTTAATTTCCGTTTTTTACCCTTTTTAGGCGGACTTAATCTGTGTTGATCCTACCCCATGGTCCCCTATGAATTTACTTATGATTGAGATGTTTTTTAGTATTAATATTACCTTATTAAAGCTAGTTTATTATTTATATGAGAAGAGGAGACCCTACTATTACCACGGCGACCAGATGGCTTGGCATAGGGTCAATGTCGTGTTTTTCTTCTCCAATCTATGGATTTGTAATGTAAAGAAGTAAGGCGGTGTGTTTTATTATCGATGGTTGTGGATTCGCTTTCTCAGACTGTACAAACATTTCTATTCATGAGTATGATTGTTTATTTCTATGTACATTTTTTTGTAAATACATTATGTATGTATTTACAAAAAAATGTATCTAAATATTTATATCAATTGTGTAGTTCCCGTAACATAAGCTGTACTTAGTTTGGGCCTAGATGGCGCTGTGTGAATTGTTCAGAGGAAAAAATAAAATATTCCTAGGTACTTTAATAACGGGTTGTAAATTCGGTTGTTTTGCGAATAAAGAATTTCCTGGAAGTTATTGTGAGATATAACTCTGAATTTGGAAAATTGTAGGTTTAATTGAATAATTCACATAACATGACTACATCACTCATTGCTCTCAACACACGCAATTACTTACTTAAGACAATGTTGTTTAATCTTGCTCAATTACGACGAATGAGGTGTTCATTGTTCTCGAGTACAAGGCATAGTACATGCGGATATCAAATGCGTTGCTTTTTTATACTTATTCAATTAAATCATGAATTGAAATCTAAGTTCGAAATTACGACGGCGTAAGTCGAAATTCGAACCACTATAGTTGCCCTCAGATGAAAGTCATATCAGTCAGGCACGATTTTGCCTTTTTGCGGAGTTTTTTAATGCTCCGTGCTCCCACCGGCGTCACATGATGACGTGATGTCGATCCATGGTGATCATTATTTATGGGCGCCTATTACCTCATACCATCAGGTGTATCATCAGCTTATTTGCCATTCGAATAACATAAAATAATGATGGACAGTTTATTGACATTTTAGACAAAAAAATCTACTTCATATCTATATGCACAATAATAACATTGGTCATATTATTCACATTTCATACGCATCATATCAATACATAAAATTCCCATTTTAGATTGAAAACCCCTCAGATCGATCCCCCGCCCAATTCAAACGGCATCGAAAATACGACGGCCTGCGCCGAGGTTCGAACCCCTAACGGTGCCCTCAGACTAAAGTCGAATCCGTCAGGCTGGACTTGGCCTTCAACCGCTTCATAAGACATTCTGCGGGTTTGAAGTGCCATGTGCACTCGTCGCCTATCGTCCGGTAAAGCTGAAAAATCTGCGGCCAACAGCATTAGAGTAGTTAGAAAAAAAAGTGTTTGAAATATTGAGACGGGTTTGAAGTGCCAAGTGCACTCGTCCCCTATCGTCCGGTAAAGCTGTAAAAGCTGCGGCCAACAGCAATAGAGTAGTTCGAAAAAAAAATGTTTAAAATATTGTCATAGAAATATGGCAAATTCTCAAATTGGCAAAGGTAATCTACTAACAGAGCCATCTGTCGGTGTAGCGGATCGTCAAGTAGTAAATCCATGGTTTACAACCTCAACACAATGCTAGTTAACGCACTCAAACTGCGAAATGTGCAATCGTTGTAGTTTTTCATAAATCCGTTAGAAGACCATAATCTCTGAAAATAAACATATTCTTCTATCTACATCGTAAATATTCAAATTATGAACCAAACTATATATTATACTATATACAGAAAATAAATATTCATTTTCTGTACGTTGGACATCAACCTCACTGCTTACTAATAATATAAATGCAAAAGTAACTCTGTGTGTCTGTTGAAACGTCCAATTTTAAACACTAACGAAGTATCATCCGCAAACAGAAATCTGGGTAAGGTCTGTCTCGCTTTCACACCAAAACTACTTAACCTATTTAAATTAACTTTGGTACACAGATAGTCTAGACCCTGAGAAAGAACATAGGCTACTTTTTAATGCGAAGAAAGGGTTGTAAAGGGTTGAAATTGGGGATGAAAGATTGTATGGAAGGATCGTCATTTTTGAAGCTAGAAGCTTGAAACTTATTTGTAAGGCTGCTAATTAAATATGACATTCAAAGTTTGTAATCATTTTACCCTTAAGGGGGTAAAATAAAATAGGGGATCAAAGTTTTTATGTATATTCATAATTTTTTAAGCTAGAATGATGAAACTGTTTTCATTGGCTTTTTTGGGTTTATTTATTAAATCACTAATATTATAGCTCTCGATTTTGCTTACACGCCAAAACTACTGAACTACTTAAATGAAATTTTGAACACAGATAGTCTAGGCCCTGAGAAAGGATATAGGTTACTTTTTAATATGAAAAAAAATGGATTGTAAGGGATTTAAAGAAGAGTTAAATGTTGAAATTTACTTTTTAGCCTATTGATTAAATATAAATAAAGAAAAAGGGTTGTTAGGGGTAGAAGGACTGTATGGAAGTGTCGTCATTTTCAAAGCTAGATGTTTGAAAATTATTTTTTTATAGGCTGTTGATTGATTTGTATGGTATTCGGTAACGTCATTTTTGAAGCTAAAACTATGAACTTTTTTTATTTGACTGTTATTGGGTTAGGTCATTAAATATTTTTTCATTGTTTGGTCAAGGTCACTATTTTACGCGGACGAAGTCGCGGGTACAGCTAGTACTCAATATATTACTGCTAATCTAAATCATATAGTTTGTTACTCTTTCACGTAAAAACTACTGAACGGATTTTGATGTATTAAATGTATTTCTCAAAATATATTTTTGAGTAACTCTCCGGTGATATATTTTTTTATTCAGGGATTGGGCTATTTATAGATGATTTAGACCTGTAGCACAGTGATCTACAGAGATCTTGCTTGGCCTTTTTCAAAGTTTGCTACTTAGACCGGTCAGGGACATTCTTATGAGCGTTAGTCATTTGGCTAAAATCACATAGGATGTGTAGTGGTGTTTCCTCTTCAACTTGGCAAAACTGCAAATTTTTGTTAAGCACAGAGCTAAGCTTCCCATGTCTAGTGAGAATCTTAGTCATGATGCATAGGTATATTGTTTTTACTCAATAGCAACTTTATTAGAGTATTGATTTGAAGTTATCAAGGTTTTTAATCGTACTAATCCTTGCATTTTCTGTCTACGAATCAGTAATAATAATAATAATCTCTCAGGACAATTCATATAGTGCCATCTAGATCCAAGTTAAGCTAGCTAAAGCTTGTGTTATGGATAACAATATATGATACAAATACACACATACATACATATATTTTTTTTTCGTAAATATATACATAGAAAATACCTACATTGATGCAAATAAATGCACGTGAATACAAAAGTTTGAGCCGTGCGAGGATTCGAACCCGCGACCATCGCAAGAAAGGCGGTGTGCAAAACCGCTAGACCACCGAGGCCGGCTCATCCGTCATACTCGTGAACAGGTGCTGCTTGTGGGGACTGGTCTGTTCAGGTTGCGAACACTGATTAGATTTTCAGATTTTTTTTTATATATCATAAGCTGGGGGTCACTCTATTGTCCCAAATTTGAATTTAAATGAATCTGTACAACATTAAAAAAAAATACGAGCAGAGTTTCTTGTCAGTTCTTCTTATCTCGAAATCATTCCGCTCTGGCGGTAGATTTGACATATCATAAGAGTCATAGACCTACATGAATAAAGATATTTTGAATTTTGAATTTGACTTTATTTAGTTATTGAGAGCGCGGCAGGTTGTTGGATTTAAATATATACCTACAGCGAATTATGGGTATGTAAAGTTACACATTCATCATAGTAGTCATATCAAAGCTCAAAAATTGTCAATATTGCTGGCTACCCAATCTAGGAGAACAGTAATGAGGAAAACATAAGTTAAATAACAATTGTAATAAAATATTAAAACCTTTAATAAAGTTAGTTATCAGCAGTTACAATAAAAATCTTTGATTTTCATATATTGAAAATAAATATAATACAAGTATAACACCACCATATTTATAAATATATATTTTGCAAATTCTCTTTCTGTCATAAATGTGACAATAATGACATAATACTGACCAACTGTTCATCGATTGGTTGGCTTCCTTCACCATTATTAATTACTAAGTCCCAATCGATATAATCATCAAGGTCACACTCTGAAGCTGCATCATCAACACCAGATTTGAACTGGTACCCTCTGGATTTTCTTGTATTTTCATCAGCACTTATCTTAATAGTTTTAATTAGGTCCTGATAAGTCTCTTTAAACCATTGGATGTCTGTTTTTCTTCTTATATCGCTGACTATCCATATAGGTTTGTCAGCGGCTAGAATAAAAATATTACAGTTAGTAAATAATAATAATAATCTAAGACAATTTGAATTCTAATTCCAAGTAAAGCAAAGCTTGTGTTATGGGTACTAAAAACCTGATAGAAATACTTAATATTGGAATGGACAAGTTGTGCTCCTGTGTCTAATAAATACAATGTTTGAATGAATCAAGAGCTTTGTAAATACAAGTAATTACCATTTGAACAGGCCTGTTTACAAAAACAGCCATAGTCTTTGTCTCTTACCGCCTCACTCCACTTTATCATATCCAATCTATACTGTTCTTTGTATGCATTATCACTCAATAGTTCATGGAGGTTCAAATTATTTTCAGTAGCCCAGTGACTTTTTATTGGCTGTGATATTTTTAGAACTTCACAACGGTCTTGAAGCCTTCAAAGATAAAATAATATTATTATTTAGTACTATACAGTCTATAATACATAACAAATTTCATATAAAAAATACAGGATATATAATGTGTCTGAAGGGGGAAGGGGATTGTTAATAATCTGGATCAATGACCCCATTAGCCATCTACCATGTCTGGTTAAACTACACATGGTCCCCTGAGAGACCATCCTGAAAAATTCCTGGTGAATTTGTCAGGATAATCTCATTTTCATATCACTCTCCACAGGTGCATCATCCATTAAAAAATATGTCTGTGTAAACAGAGGAGGTAGAGGATTATTAGCAAAAAGGATTAGTGACATCATTTCTACCATTGTACCATGTGAGGTCAACCTTCACAGCCCCCCCTGGAAACCATTGTTTATTTGTTGATTAAACCGCCATGGTAGGTTAATTGACTGGACTTTATCATCATTCAATCATACTGTCTGAGCAGGATGTTTCATACCATTTCATCATCATCTATACAAAAAATGTTATACTAGTTATTGATTTCGGGTTTTGCTTTGGTTACACTTTGATTACTAACACATGTATTTAATTTCACAAAAAAGATCCAACTATTAATTTTACAATAGAGCAAAAATTAAGACTCTCCTTCAGACACACACAGCTACAGTTACTGTAAAATATCTGAAAAGTAAACATGGTTTATTATGCAGAAGTATACCTATCCAATAATGATTTTAACATCTTAAAAATAAATAAATAATTATGTATGAAATTTAAGTTGGAATTTTGTTGGAGGCGTTTAGGTACAAGAAACCTTATTTATATATAAAATATGTCAAGTATAAACAGTTGTAACTTCATTTGAATATCCACCTGCGACCTTGTTCTTTCAGCAATTGTTTGAAAAAAGACCACCTTGTGTCAATAAAATAATTCATATTAAAAGCAATGGGAAACATTTTGCTGCTGGTAATATTACCATAGAATCTAATAACTCGAAAATGTATAATATATATATAATGAATGAAAAAAATCCATGATCATATAAGCAAAATATCTAACAAATAGCAATAGAAATAATCTTTATTCAAATATATATTATATAGAACTCACAAAAAACTTTTTGGTAATACTCACAGTTTTTGTAAATGATCAGTCAAAAAGTCCTTTCCAGATTTTCTTTTCCCACTAAATAGTAAAATTACCTGTGGTGGCATTTTCTGCGAATTAGAACAGATGATAAAAATCAAAATATATTAATCAAGTAATCTATTTTGATTTACTAACAGAACGTATTTATAATATTTTCTTCCTTATTATTATTGTGATTTCTACCTTAGAAGCACAAATTTATAATTCAAACAATATAATGGTTAGAAATCTATAACAACAATCGGAAGAGGCAAATAGTAATTACTTGGATTCAGCATTGTATATAATTTAAATACATATTCTATTGTTTATTTTCTGAGGTTGTTGTTTACTTTTTTTTTCTTCTTTATGGCTTGGCACTTCTATGCATTTGCCAAGAAATAAAATTGGAGGATAATTTTAGGAATTTCGCGGAAGAGAAAACTGACAATCACAGTCTTGACAGCGAGAATTAACAGGACATTACTTTGAGATTAAAGATTGACGTCAACTGACTGTCTGTCACCATAACAGCGAATTATACTTTCGAAAAACTTGCTAAAACTTGCTGAAGTTCATTAATTGACTATTAATAAGTTCATTCGGTATTTTATAGAATGATGCTGAATATAAATAGAATAATACTGCTAAGTCATTTAATTAATTGACATAAATTAAATAATTAAATATATATTTCTAGATTATATTTTATTTGGTAGTTCATTTGGATGCACCTCTCATTATTATTAATGTGTATAGTTTTATTCTTGTCTTTATGAATTAAGTAGTACCTTTTGTAGAAAGGTAAAATATGGGTATAAGTATTTCAATAGTGGTAGTTAATATTAAAGCGCAAAAGTGCTAACTTGGCAAGAGGCTTTAACATCTGGTCATACTGTTTGACTCTCAAACATGACTGTATTTTGACATATATTTTCGTTACAGACCTAAAATAAAACTATTTCATTATTTTATATGTTGTCTTTATTTTAGTTTCTATTGAAAAATAAAATATTAACTGTCTTTCCAAAATTATCAGACACGGTTTATCTGTCATAAATGTCTGTAATAATTACACCAGATTTCGATAGATGGCGATATGAAATACTCATGATTTTTTATATGTTCAATAGATGTCGCCACATAATCGGTTCGTCAAGTTTTCTGTAGAAAATAATATAAACAAAACTATCAATTAGGATTTGGAATTTTAACAGTTACTCAGTTGTTTTTAAAGTTATTCGATTTTTAAATTATGGTTAAACTCATCATTTAGTAGTCTAAACAGTAAGAATGACACATACAGTCACGTTTTTTTAATCAATTATAATGGAATGGTGCTCCACTACGCTAACGGTATACGCTAGAAAGATACAAGTAAGGGATGATAAGATGAGTAGGTATAAAGTGAGGTCAGTTAGCTTTATCGTTGCGAAGTCACCAGCAATTAAGCACAATGGTTCCCAAAGGAAAGAACCGCGTGGAGGGCGACATAACATCGTCATTTCCATCAATACATTTTAGGATTCATATTGTTATTATATGCACGTTTATTACTAATCTGCAATCATTTATTTCTGCACTTCCCAAAGGTTAACTGAGAGACGCTATAGTATTAAGTCTACCTTTTGTATCATATTTTGTATTCGTCAATTACATAAATACTTTAATTAGAATTGATAAAATAGTAGCTCCTTATGTTTTATAAGTATAGTGCCTAAGTGCATATTCCTAAACTTATTAGCATCGTGGTATTCGTCCGTATCCTTTGTAGCAACTTCACGTAGACATGTGAGTAGATACCTATAGTTTCTATTCGTGTTCGAGGCGGCAAACCGCATGTTAACCCGACCGTACCTTAAATGCCTATGTAGTATGTCGTCTACGTATGTCAATTTATGTTCTAACACTCCACTAAAAGCATAATACTATCTGTCTTGTCACCAATTAATTCTGTTCTGTAAATTCTAACAGTAACACAGAATAAGAAGCATTTTTCCGTCAGTATTAAAATAATTATTAACATAGATATACACAGAGACAAAAAGTTAGTGCTTCTTTTCTCTTTTGTATAGTAAGAGTCTGGTGCATGTGTTATACTTTGTATGCTTACTGTAACACGCAAATTTCTTGCTCGTTCTTCTTGTGATGCAGACAGCTTTCCGAATGAGCGGTAGAATAAAAAATAACACTGACTATTCAAAAGTGCTTAAATGTAAGTTTATTTAAATAAGTGTTTTCTATTTTATCTACTATTAGGCTGACGCATTTAGCAGCATAGTTATGCAGTATTGGTGAGACTGTGACCGTGAATATCTCTATCTCTTTTAATACCTATATTAGCAGATTAGGCCAAAAATATGCAAGAACTGGTCTTCCTCTATTTATGTTACCTTAGCCCATTATTGCTAAGCCATATCTAGATACCATAGCCAGCTCTATTGTATGTAATCACTCACGCGTATTGTACGCTCAGTATTGAAGTTTCGTAGAACAGTAGACATTTATAAATATTTCTATTGAGCTTCTTATTATTCTGCTTCTATTATTTGTTAAAGACCATATTTGTCGCTTATCTAACTCTCATGAGATTTTCTAAGTAATTTTGCCAATAAAATATACACGTTGTTCTTAATGCACAGATAATTTCCGTGAGACAGCCGTTTATATCGGCCGCTGTTTTCCAATCCAACCGGTAATATGATAAGTCGGATTTTGGGTTTTATTACCTGTGAAAGTAATTCTGTAATGGTTAGTTTATGAAAGGGGCCACAAATGAATAACATGTGGTAGATAGTTAGATACTAATTAATATAGAATTTATGAAACAATTATAAAAAATGTCACCCATGTCATGTTTTTTTAAGAACGATAGTGGAATGGTGCCCTAATTTTACGCTGGCGGGGCCCCAGTGGAGATTATGAGCATGAAGTCAGGTGGGTTAGCCAATCGTGACAAGTTCACCAGGAATTTATCACAATGCTTTCCAAGAAGAACCGCGTGAAGGTCAACTTGACATTGTACATTGTTACCAATGTGTTCATTACATCTACAATACTAACAATTCCCTCCCCCCATTCATCATAGTAACAATCTCTTCCCAAGTGGCCCAATGGGTAGCAACTTAAGTACTTACCACGTTAGGTGCGTTCCCCCTGCAATCCATCCTATTTGAATTCCTAGTGGATTTACCACGCCGATCTAACTGATCTAAATTCTGCTCATCCCGTCATATATCAGCATATATCTAAAACGATACCATTCCATTATCACCTATTAAAAAAACCATCACAATGACTAGAAAGTACAGTCACCTTAATTTACCACAGAATGTCGGGCAAGTCCGTATTTGTTTCACGCGTAGTGAATAGTGGATTAGTGATTTACCCATGTGATAATTTGATGTCATAGTTAGTCAAGTCCGGAAGAGAGCGATAAAGTGTCACCCGGCCCGTTACGCGGGACTGCGGGAGTCATAAACACGACAACGAAATATTGTCGCTTCGAATGCGGACGATACCGAAATGATCACTTCAATTTAATTTTATAACTAGGTAGCTGAATAATAACATGTTTTTTGTACATCTCAAACCTATCATTACGTATAAAATACGTATGAAATTACGTGTGTATGACTACAAAAACTTTACAACATACCTACCTGCCAAATCAATTCAAGATGAGTCTATTATCTATACAATAAATACATACTTACTCGTACAGATAACATACTTGTATAAATTACAAAATACAGTAGGTAAATAGACCAACTAATTATCTACTGTTTTTTTTTTAATTTATTTATGCCTTTGTAACATTTAAGTGAGGTTTTACATAATCTAATATATTGGATTAAATGTGTAAAAATAGGTCTAAGATCATCTTCATGAGCAGATTCACAACCAGCAAAAGAAACGGCAACAAGCAGCTTGATGATAACATCGACCCGTCATTATCATCATCGCCATGACAAGACAACTCTCCTTTCTTCTTAAAGAAGCAATAGGTACGCGACAATGTTAATGTGAGTATATCTGTAGCAATTAGGTACACGTAAAAAAATAGCCTAATGTAAATTAGGCTAAGTGGGTGAAAATTGACTTATTGTAATTTTTATTATGGTCTTTAGGTCAGCTAGGGCCGATCATTTTTCAATAATATTTATTAACATTCTTTACTACCTACTAAATCGATATCCGTGACTAAGTGAATGAATACCCTATATTCGATATGCGCCGTAATAGTATCGCCCACGCCGCGTTATTATGCTCACCATAACGTATAACTATAAATAAATTCGTGCCGACACGAAAAAAATGGCGTTATTTGAATGCCGGCCGATAATTTAAATGTAGCAACAACCGCCTTTAGCTTACAACCGTAATTGACTTAAAAATGCTTATCAATATTACTTAACCATCTAAACATAATATGCACCACTCATATCTTGTGAAATTGAACCCTAATGTGCTTACATGCGTATGGATATCGCAAGACTTATCGTATGAACATGCGCCTTTGCGGTTGGCGTTCCAAGTTCCAAGCACGATGCACGCTCACGACTTTCTGAACAACTCCGGACATGACATTCCACGTTTCGTTGTAGATTAGAACGGGATAGACAGAGAGCCACCCGCTGAAAAAAACGAGACAACCAACCACCAGAACAGTCCACGTGGACTGCTTAATATCAACACAGAAGCAGCGACCAATAGAAAACAGTACCGCTAATGTATTTCTCACCTCCGCACTCACACCAAGGATAGCTGCCATTTTTGTATTATTTACACGATTCTCAACTTTCCGCCGTCTGTTTAGGGTTTTAAATCTTGTGGTTTGGTGACAAGGAACTCCATTTTCGAAATGACTTATAAAAAGGGTGCAATATGATTTTGGGTCTTATGACCAAAATGGAAGATATGTTATCGTTCGTAGAGTGCACTGCGGTTCTTGAATTTAAAACGATTCCCAAGAACACGGGCGCAAGTTGGTGAAGGTTGGAAGAGGCCGCGGTGCAAACTGCATCGTCACAGCAGCGTCGCCCCCGACCCCACCCCGCCGCCGCGCCCGTCTTTATTGTAGTAAGTTGGCGTGGTGTAGGTGTGTGCTGTAATATGTATGCAACGTGCCTGTTCCGAGTCAACTGTTGTGCTGAGGCACGACGTTTTCATAGCGCTCGCGAGAGGTAGCTGCAGCCACTGCACTCAACGTTCGCAATATTTTGCTATTGCAATGTTCTCCTTTTTATTTTCGTAGCGTTTGACCAATTGAACAAAGGATTTTTGATTTGTATCTTTATGTTTGTAAACAGAATGATTTAGTTTTGTTTACACGAATTAGAATATAAGAGTGTGAGTAGAGTTCGCTTCCAACTTGAGTTTGCAAAATAATAATATTATTTAGCACTAAAATTTATATAAAATCACATAAAAGTTTCTGATAAAATAAATTTAATCATTTTCGTCACATTACTTTAGAAATGATATATCTAATGACAAGACTATTTTTAACAGC